TTTATAATTAATTTTGTCATTGGATATCTACGGACATATAGAGCTATCTGTGTTTCAGGCTATTTATAGTGTATGGAATCTTAGGTGCATCTTCGTGTACACTTTTATACTTATTAAATATAACTGATAATTTTATCATGATTTTTTTTTTTTTGTAGAGGGCAGTGTCACTGGCCCTCATATGTGGGATCCGAACCAGGGCCCTCTGGCGTCCCAAGCCAGCTCCTAACCAATGCGCCACCTGACCGGCCCTTATCATGATATTTTAATATAGTAATATGTAATGTAATTATGTTTTCTTAAAATGGTTGTACGAGTCCATGAATGATTTCTAAAATGTCATCTATGTTAAAACTGGGTAATGCAATTATATTTGGCTTTGCTTTTTTTTTTCATTAGCAAAAAATATTATCAAGGTATTTGATTTGTGTTCTGTGTTTGTTCATTATTATCTACATTGAATATATTCAGTGTGCTTGTTAACTTATGTATGTCTTCATTGGATAATTGTATCTTAATATTTTAGGGACCCTGGGATATTTCAGACTTTCATCATCCAAGCTCCACCTTTACACATAGCTGAGACATTCAAATGTGCTTAATTTTAAGAAACTCTTAAGATGGCTTCTTTATACAAGTTAGGAAAATTTGCAAACTTGTTCTCATTTGTATTATATTAGGGTGGATGGACTAAGCAATAGGAAAAGAAAATGTGAACCAATAAATTGGGCCTTTTTGGAGAAAACGCTGTATATGGGTAATGTTAGGTGTTATGTCTGGTTATATGCCCTTAAATGTTTTAGTACGAGCTGGCAAAACTACGTGAGTGAGAAACAGAAAGATATGGCAGCAGTCAGAGGACCGGATGCCAGTAAGATCGGGCGAACCTTCCTCGTGGTCACGTGTGGGAGTTTTGGCGCCCTTGCTGTGGGCTCATTGTCCTTGGCGTGGAGCTTTAAATACCTTGTTGGGTTGGTCTGCTTACCATATTCTGAGACACAACGTGAAAAAACAGACGGATAAGTTTGTTTAGTGCAGTACCCGTACATAACCGAGTCACGGTTTGTGCTAACGCATATATCACATACTAGCAATCTGTGATTTATATGCACGTCTGCTAATTAATTTGTTTATTTTGCATGAAAAAAAATCCATTGAAAGCATGAATTATGGCCGGCCCCTCAGCAATGCATGGAGAGGGCTAATTGGTCCATGACTAAAGATGTGCCCCCAAAGAATTTACCATTATATCATAATTAAAAAAAATAGTCGCTACACATGTCTAGATTTATGCCACGTTAAACTGAGAATGCCTTAAAACAAGGATGCAAATACCTCGCACATGAGAACCAGGTCCTGTGTGACATCAGTGATGATGTCATTAGATTTCTCTGTCCTTTCCTGCCGGACTCGGACCCAGGGCTGGAATCCTGTGGACACAGTATTTCAGGGTCCCTGTCAGTTGGATGGGTTATTTCACGGAAAGAAGACTTTCTTTTCTCTACCTTTCTTTTTGCTTACCTTTTCTCTAACTTGTTTCCTTCCTACTGAGAGTGGGGAAACCTGTTTACAGAATCAATCGGGCAAAATAGAAGAAAAGGATAAAGGAAGACAAGTGCATTTTGGCGAGGTGTGTGTCTGTAAGATCAGCCCTGTTCCTCCGGTGTCACTCGCCATCTCACTATTCATTCAGCTTTGTCTGCTTGCAGTACCAGAAATGGAATAAATACAATTACCTTCCGGGATGGCCGTGGCCGGCCATCTTCTAAAATGATTCACAATGAGAACTAGGAGATGTTCACTACATCCTAGGCTGCTAACCAACTGTGCAACCTTGAGCAAATTTCGGAACCTTAGCATCCTCAAGTATAAAAAGAAGCTACAGGGACTGTGTTATAGCGGTCCCTTCCAGATCAAAATGCTTTTGTATTATGTTGGAAATAGAGAGATTAGATGAAATTCCTATTCTCCAAAACTCCAGGACCTCCCCCCAACAAGCATGAGTTCGCCCTGTCACCCAGTTCACAGGCCTTGGAGATGACACTTGGCCACGTAGGACTTCGCAGTCAACCACCCAGAGGAGAGGAAGCCAGCAGAACAGCAGGCGGGAGCCCTCGCTGATCTCCACGGCAGTCAGCACATGCCTGAAGCATGAGACCTGTCTTAGCTACGTAAGTGTAGCGTTATTAATGGTCATGAAATTACCCAGCCTTTTTCAAATCCAGTGAGAGCATCTGGCTCCATCAACCCCTAAGGCCAAATCACACACATGCACGATCCGTGGCCTAAACGTCGGGCGCCCCCTTTTTATTAGTCCCAGCATTGCTGCCCTTTGCTTTTTCACATGCGTCCTTCTGTTCCTGTGTGAAAGGACCAGTTATTACATTTACAGGGGTACGACTGCCGGTCTGACTCCACAGTTAACAGCCTCCTCTAGCTGTACTGCCGTCGGCGCTGAGGTGGCTCCTTGTACTTCCAAGGTCGCCTTTGAGCGTCTGTCCCTCAGTCGGGCGTCCTGCTGTCCTTGATTCCAGCTGTTACTTGGCCAGAAAACCCCTGTGGGTCTGTGACTGTCAGGAGTGCGGGACAGAAGTGGCATTTGCAAAGCTGCAGCTCTTCTGCTAAACAGCTTTCTGGGATGAGCCGCGTGGCCTCACCCAGGTGCGGTGGTCCTCCTGCGCCCCCCCCCCGGGAGCAGCACCCAGGAATGTGCAAGGGGTGAGCACCCCATCAGCAGTGAGAGCCGAAAGCTGCCCCAGCTTTTAAGGCCTTGCCCCTTTTTCCAGATGACCTCTCTGTCTCACCTTCTGCTTGTATTCATGAAAGAGCCCCTTTGTTCCTGTCACGTGTGGTGTGACAGTCGTATTTTTATTTTACATCCCTCCTCAATGGTGAGAGATGAATGCACACCTTTCAAAGCGAATGCTATCGCGTTTCCATGTGATTCGTACCTGTGTTGGTCTTTCTCCAGCACCCACTACGACTGTGCGATGCCTGATGGAGTACGGCCGTTTGCTGACTGGGAGCGGGTCTGCGCAGAGTAGGGCAGGAGGCACCCAGAGAGGCTTGCAGAGCAGCGTCAGAAGCGGAGGCCGAAGGCTGCCTTCCTGGAAGCGGCAGTGGGCTGCAGGCTCCCAGGGCCCCGGAGGCCTAGCTCCCTCGCCTGCCTTGGATAATGTGCTAAGAGTATGAACCTGTCCGTGGAGGTGACAGCAATGAGGTGCTTCTTGGAAATTTAAGCCTACTGCCTCCATGTCGCATATCTTTAAAAAGAAATCCTTTTGTTGGCTAAAACAGTTTTTAGCTTTCTCTCAAATACTGTTTCACTTTCTTGCTTAGTCATTTGTCCTCCTTGCCTTCCTCCCTTCCTTTTTCCTTACCTATTTATTTCCTCTCTCTGTCACTTCTTTCTTAAAATTGAGTTGCCTGGGGTAAGGTATTGTGTATCCGAGTATGCTGGCTTAATGGCTGTCCCTAGGAAGCCACAGGCTTACTGTTGGGCCATTGTTTTCTCATTTATATGCACTGACATAGGCTCAGAAATGTGTTGTTTTCCTTCAAGAAAAACCCATATTTAAGAACTGACTCCTCTTCTTGTTTCAGCTATGTGTCTGGGCATTTTTTTTTAAATATTTTATTTAAAAAGAAGCAACTAGTCTTGTCTGCTGAGTTTTCCACTGGACCTAGCACCTAGAACAATGATACATAGTAGGTGCTCAATAAATAAATATATATTTTAATGATTCGAATGTCAAGCAAATTCATCAGAGAAAAGAAGGGCTGTGCGTTTAAGAGCAGTCTGAGGGTCTGGCCAGGATGGAGCTCTGAGCCTTTCGCGCAGCGGAAGTTTACCCAGAGGGTGGTAAACTCCAGAGACCAAGTTGGCTTTGTGTCTGCTGACCTTGGAAATGTTTTCCTACAGGCACAGTCTTTTCCCTGTTGGAATTTTCCTCAATGTTCTATCTTTGTTTCTAGTTTAGGAAACATGCCACGTGAATAACGATGCCTCAGGCAAAGAAATTACCCCAGCAGTACAATTGAAACTCAGGATGCATCCTGCCCTCACTTGCATTCGCAATTTGCAAGGCAGCCAGTAAGAACTGTGCCCACACATGAACTGGCAGAGTCAGGGCTCCAAAGTTAGCAGTTATTAAAATGTACAGGCCCATTTATTCAAATAAGTGGTGGCTTCTGCAGCGCACCCTGCGCCCCTTGCCTCTAGCTGTCCATTCTAGTGACATCCACGTCTGAGGGTAGCTCACAGCTCTAAGTGTCCCCATTGTTCAGTGCAAGACACGAGAACAAAACCAGTCTCACTGCCACAGTGGAGCGAAAAGGAGAAGCCCGTGATTCTCATCCTCAAAGAGGACTTAAATTCAACAGCGTTTGTTTAAGTGGCGTTGTGTGAAAATGCTGGAAAACCCGCCGTGGTGGGGAAAGACGCAAGGGGTGTGTAAATAGTGGACTGCAGAGGACCGTACCTTTCCCCCGAATCGTTGGGGAGTGCTAACATCTATGGGTTTTTGGTGGAATTGATAAGGCATTGGAAATAAGTATGCAGGCTTTCTTCCGCCCTAAGTAGCGAATTCATACAGAATACATAAGAAAAACCTTTGGGAACGATACGGCGACATTACTAGACCGTAAGTATTAGGACAATGTTTTAGAAAACGGTCGCGGAGGCGGCGTCTTCCGTGACCCGCCGCGGGCCCGCCACGCCCCCCGCGAGGCGGGAACGAGCAGCGACTTCTCGCCGCGCCCGCGACACGGGCGGGGGGCCGGGCCGGCGGCGGGTGTGGAGTCCGCGCCGCGCAGCCGCCGGGCGGGAGGGGCCCGCGGT